TTAATGTCCTATATTCACATATATAATGTCTAATTTTATTACAGTATAATACAAAATAATCTCTTGTCCTAAAGCAATCACTGTGCTTCTCCTGCTCAATTCTCCCTTATACCTTGGAAACCACTGATCTATTTCCTTGCTTAGTTTTGCTTTTCTGGAATGTCCTATAAGTGGAATCATGGAGTTTCTTTCACTTCGGAATAAAGACCTAACCCTTATCCGTGTCTTCTCATGGCTTGAGATCTCTTTCCTTTTTATCACTGAATTAATATTCCATTGTGTGGTTTACCACGGTTTATTTATTCATTTCCCTGTTGAGAAACACATCTTGGTTTCCTCCAATTTATGGCAATCATGAACAAAGCTGAGAAAAATATTCAAATGTAGGTTTTTATGTGGATATGAATTTTCCAGACAGTCAGGTAAATACCTAGGAGCATGATTTCTGGAGCATAAGGTCAGACTGTGTTGAGTTTTGCGGGACATTACCACCTTTTGTTTTCTTTTTTTTAAGTTGTTTTTTTTTTTTTTGACAGGTAGAGTTGTAGACAGTGAGAGAGACAGACAGAGAGAAAGGTCTTCCTTCCGTTCGTTCACTCCCCAAATGGCCGCCACAGCCAGCGCTGCCAGGAGCCAGGTGCTTCCTCCTAGTCTTCCACTCGGATGCAGGAGCCCAAGCACTTGGACCATCCTACACTGCACTCCCGGGCCACAGCAGAGAGCTGGACTGGAAGAGGAGCAACCTGGACTAGAACCCGGTGCCCATATGGGATAATGGCACCGCAGGCGGAAGATTAGTCAAGTGAGCCAGGGCGCTGGCGCTGGCGCTGGCCCCCAACCCTTCGTTTTCACAAAGCCCTTTTTCTTGCCTTCACAGGCAAGTGGTTTATGTTTTCCTGGTTATTGTTCCCTCGCCAGGCTATAAGCTCCCTGAAAACAGCAATCATACAGGTTTTGATTCCTGATGTGGCGCCTGCATTTTGGCTAAGACCTCATACGTAGTAAAACTTAACAAATATTTAGTGAATAAATGAATAAATAAAACATCAAGCTTTAAAAATTCATACTTGAATCATATGCTCACCTTAAGACTTCCAGAATGCAAGTCTTCCATTATCTTAACCTTGGCAGAAAACTTAGATTGATACTGATATTTCATAATTTTTTTTTTTAAAGATTTACTTATTTGAAATGTAGAGCTACACAGAGGCAGAGAGAGAGAGAGAGGGAGAGAGAGAGAGAGAGAGGGAGAGAGAGTGTCTTCTATCCACTGGCTCAATCCCAATGGCCACAATGGCTGGAGCTGGGACAATCCAAAGCCAGGCTCCTGGAGCTTCCTCCAGGTCCCCCACATAGGTGCAGGGGCCTACAGACCTGTGTCACCTTCTATGGCTTTCCCAGGCCATAGCAGAGAGCTGGATCGGAAGTGGAGTAGCCAGGACTCCAATCAGCACCCATATGGGATGCTGACACTGCAGGCAGGGGCTTCACCCACTACGCCACAGCACCAGCCCCTTATAACTGTTTAAACTTTGATCCATACAAGTCTCCAATCTCTTAAGGAGCGTTCTTTTTGCACATTGAGTTTTATATATTTGCTACTAAAACTGACTCATAACCAAGTGATCGAGACTTCTATCAATTTCTTCTATCTCAAACAATATGGGTTTCACTCAATGTGGTAAAAAAAAAAGGTGAATAAGAAGTATTATTTTCTATTCTTTAACAATTTCATGGCTTAGCACATTTTAAATACCACTCATTTAGTGTTTTATTCCAATAATGTGTCTCAGATTATTCTGATTTCTCAGCAATTTAAAAATGGTTCTCCATGGTCTTAGAAGTTCTAATCAAACAGCCTTTGCTCAGAACTTAAAAAGACATTTTTTCTGGGGCTAAAATTAACCCAGAAAAAAAGACTGAAAACAAGAGCAAACATAGAACAGAATCAGTATTTTCGAACTGAGCTCAGTTTGCCTTTTATCATCATTTATAACCCTTGCTTCTTAGTGAGGAACAGAGGAGCTGAGGGGGTTCCAGCACTCTCTGTAGGTGGCCCTGTATCCCTGACTCCATCCCCCTCCTTACTAAGTCAGCACGCCCAGTGTCAGGCCTCCCCCACTGTGCAGAAGGCACCATAATGAACGTACGTACACTGAGCTCCACGTGGAGATGCCATCAAAATGTTCCCAGAAAACACCACGTGCACTAAACCCCATCCAAACTCCACCCTGTTTGCATATTTGATCAGGGGCCACCCACCCAATAAAGGGGACAGCTAAACTGAGGTCCCTCTGTTCACCTCTGAATGTGACTCTACCGCTTTAAATAAATCCTGCTCCTATTCTTGCACTTTATCTATGTCTCTACTTTGAATTCTTTTTTAAAGAGAATTTAAAATATGCATGTTTATCTGTAATTGACACATACAATTACATTTCTGGGGTACAGTGTGACATTTCAGTGCATGTATACAATGTGTAATGATCAGATTAATTAGTATATCCATCACCTTAAACATTTATCGTTTGTTGAGAACATTCAGAATCCTATTAGCTATTTTGAGACACACAATTAACTGTCTTCAATCAGTGACCTCACAGTGCTGCAGAACACTAGAAATTACTCCACCCCTGCAATGCAAGCCTGTGCCCATCAACCATCTTCCCTCCATTCCCCCCTCCCTCCTCCCACTTCCAGCCTCTGGTAATCACTATTCTACTCCCTACTTCCATGAGACCAAGTTTCCAAGCTTTCACACCTAAGAGGGAACATGCAGTCATTTTCTTTCTGTGCCTGCCTTGTTTTACTTAATTCAACGTCTTCCAGGCCCATCTGTGTTGCTGCAAACAACAGGACTGTATTCTTTTTTATGGCTGAGTATTATTCCATCGTGCGTATGTAACCACACGCTCTTTACCTATTGATCTACCAAAGGAGCACGTATGTTGACTCCATGCTCTGGCTGTTGAGAAGAGTGCTGCAATAAATACAGGAGTACAGGTCTCTCTCTGACATGCTGCTTCCTCTTCCTTCAGATATTTGCCCATAGTGGGATTGCTAGATCGTATGGCAGTTCTGTTTCTAGTTTTTTGAGCAAACTCCGTCTGGTTTTCCAAAAGGACTACAGTAATTTACATTCCCATCAACAGTGTGTGAAAGTTCCCCTTCCCCTGAGTCCTCCCCATTTGTTTCTTTTTTTTTTCTTTTTTTTTTCTTTTTTTTTTTTTTTTTTTTTGACAGGCAGAGTTACAGAGAGAGAGAGACAGAGAGAAAGGTCTTCCTTTTCCATTGGTTCAGCCCCCAAATGGCCGCTATGGCCGGCGCGCTGCACCAATCCGAAGCCAGGAGCCAGGTGCTTCCTCCTGGTCTCCTATGCAGGTGTAGGGCCCAAGCACTTGGGCCATCCTCCACTGCCCTCCTGGGCCACAGCAGAGAGCTGGACTGGAAGAGGAGCAACCTGGATAATCTGGAGCCCCAACCGGGACTAGAACCTGGGGTGCTGGCACTGCAGGTGGAGGATTAGCCTAGTGAGCTGCGGCGCTGGCCACCATTTGTTTTTTTCTACTTTGAATTCTTAAGCGGAGGCAGAACCTGAAATAAACACAGCTGGGGAACCTATACCCCATAGCAACAGGGCACCCTGGTTGAAATAATTCATGTAATTGAATTATTTAAAAAAACTGTGAATAGGAAACAAATTCTAAATTCTGTACATTTTACCAGAGGTAATATTTCCGCATTTTTTAGGGTTATTAAGTATCTTTCTTGTTCTACTCTGGTGAATAGGTCTGTTTGGATTCCAGCTTTCAAACACTGTCTTTATTCAAACAGGCCCCCAGTAGGGCTGGAAGACCCCCTATCTAGTCCAGAGTTGCCTTGAATATCACAGAATTAGCAAAGGGACTGCCAAAGCTAATTGAAGCGTCAACGTACTTGAAAGCTATTAAAAATGCAGAGGCTATAGTTTGCGAGAATAAACCAGACAAGGTGCCCGACTGGAGAGTACTTCTGAGATACATCAGCTTTAATTAAGCACTTTGCCGATCTGGAAAGAATGGCAAGGCAATACCGTATTTATTGGAGTAGTACATGCGTTAGTCCTCACATCTGAAGTTAGAGCCAGTAATCCAACTGATTTTCAAATAGGTTTCTAGAATTCAAATTAATTATTAATTTATATGGAGGACAGGTTTCAACACATCCACATATTTCTTCATATTCCCACTTACAATTCTGTCTCAGACCCAAGGAGCCACTTGCGCTGTCCTGATGGTGTGTGGGGTTAATGCTTCCTGGCCACTGTGTACACTTTCCTCCCCACATCGCACTCTACTAGTCCCCACTTCACCTGCTTCCCAAGCCAGCCCAGAGGAAACCTGTTCTGAGATCCCCCCAGAATGACAGTATTCCGCCTCTGCCAGACACTGGTACCATCTCCCTCCTTGATTTCTACAGTCACAGTGACTGCATCACCCTGAAATTATTATTATTTTTTTTTTACTGTGAACTCAGGAGAGGGTCTGGCTTCCAGTAAGCACTCAGTAAATATCTGTTGGGCCCTCAACACTTGCAAGCACCGCCAATCACAGGTGGGGAAGAGTTTCACTGATTTTCTCCCTGCTCAAAGGGAGCTTTTTGTCAGCTCCTGAAAGTGAGAAAACTGTACAAGAACCCAAATGCAATTCTCAAGAACCCCTCTTTGCTGGGAAGACCTTTGTACTGAAGAGAAAGTACAAGCTATCCGCCATTTAGTCAAACAGTCATGTCTACAGCCTTGCCGAGGAGGGGAGTTACATGTATGAGTAGCAGTCCCAAGTAGAGAAGAGAATCATAATTTCAGCTGCTGACATTAAAATCTTCTTCCCACGGACATTTATACATGAAAATAGTGCGAAGATCTATGGTTTCTCTCAAGGTCGACAATACCCTCGTCCTTCTAACTGCACTCTTTCCGTTTGTAGTGACATATCCAGGTGCAAAACACAAAGAAATCTTACTGTTTGCACTCAGGCCCATTCTGTAGTGCTCTGAAAGAAAACCGGCTGCACGTGGACTTTTCCAGATGTTTCTCCCGGTAGCTGCCTGTGTACGTTGTCACAGAGGAGTCTGACCATCGAGTCTCATCCTGCCAAGATGCCCCGGCCCCGTGTCGGATCATATTGAACTCCTGAGAGGAAAGAGGGCTAAAGGGCAGAAGAATTTGTGGAGTCAAGTAGAAGAAATGTGACATGGCTATGGATAGCCTGCTCTGACTGACAACTTTTCAAGGCCTCTGCATAATGAGGAATTAATTTCCTGCTAGCAGCAGGAAGTAATTGACTGGGCTCACCCAACTTCCTAACTCCCACAGTTCAGAGTGCAGAAGCTTAACTGTCTTAGATATGGTTGCCAAGCAACGGAACACTAAATTCCAAATGCTGCTGTCATCCCCCCAACGCCCACCCAACTTTTAGCTCACAAATATGTACCGTGTTTAACTATCTGACCTTTGCTCTGAGAATTATCCTGCTTTGTAATTTTGGTGAGCAGGTGGCAAAATCATTTATGTATCACTGTTATCACAAATGAAGCAGTGAATCCTAAAGACGGTGTTTGAAAAAGTGGGAATAAGAAGAGGAGAGTTGCCACCAATGTCCTAGGTTCCAAGAGTCTAGAAGAGAACGTGACCTACTTGTGATGTCAACAATAGCAGGTGACTCAATAGCTTCTCACATGTTATGGGGCAATGGTGCGCTCGGGCTGGCTGACACTCAGTCACCCTGCTGGCTGTTAAACATAAGCAGATCCAGGGCCCAACCTCATAGATTCTGATTTAATCGGTCTGGAGGAGGGCCCAGGCTTTGGTATTTTTTTAAAACCTTAATCTTGGAGGATTCTAAAGAGCAGCCAGGGTTCAGATCAATGTCATGGAAATGCTATGTGGAGCCTTTTTTTATGCCAGGAAGTCATGGCATTCAAACTTCTATTCACATGATTCCCCCATTCTTCACTAATAATTACTCCAAATCTGGTTAATGTGTTTGCCCAATCTTACTTCTCCAGATGGACAAACAATTCACAGACAAATCAAAATGAAATCATTCTTTCAATGCTCATTGCTTCTTTCGACACCTCTCAGAGCAGGAGTTCTCAACCTTCAGTGCCCTCTCAAGTAACCTGTGAATTCTTTGTAAACACAGATGTTCCCCCCGCAAACCCCGCCCCAGCCCTCAGAAGGCTGGATCACAACTCCGCACATGGATTCATTCTCAGTATGGAGAAAAAGACTCTCCCTAGGTGATTTAATCAGGCCTGATGGATCCACATTAAACATACAGATCCCTCAGCCCCAACTAGAGACTGTGGGTCCCAGGCAAAGCTTGGGAATCTGCATTTTTATGTGATTAGGTGGTTCTGATGCAACTGATCTTTGATTACAAGGGGGTACTGCTCCAGGGGTTAAAGTCTTATAAAGTGAGGTTGACACACGACATGCTGTGTTTGAGACTAATGCTATTTGCAATTACTTATCTGTGTTTCTACATTAGGGGTTTCTGTCCTGCAAATGGTGGGATCTGAAACACAAGCACCTTTGCCTCAGGAAAAGGATCAGGCTGATGTTTGCAGACTCAGTTGCTTTTCCTTGTGGAGCTGAAGGTTTCCTGGAAAAATCCAGATGAGTTTTTTTTTTTTTTTAATATGGAAAAAAAGAATGAAGGAGGCCCGTGCCGCGGCTCAGTAGGCTAATCCTCTGCCTTGCGGCGCCGGCACACTGGGTTCTAGTCCCAGTCAGGGTGCCGGATTCTGTCCCGGTTGCCCCCCTTCCAGGCCAGCTCTCTGCTGTGGCCAGGGAGTGCAGTGGAGGATGGCCCAAGTGCTTGGGCCCTGCACCCCATGGGAGACCAGGAGAAGTACCTGGCTCCTGCCATCGGATCAGCGCGGTGCGCTGGCCGAAGCGCGCTGGCCGCTGTGGCCATTGGAGGGTGAACCAACGGCAAAGGAAGACCTTTCTCTCTGTCTCTCTCTCTCACTGTCCACTCTGCCTGTCAAGAAAAAAAAAAAAAAACAAAAAAAAAAGAATGAAGGAGGAGAAAGAAAGGTAGCTTGCCTAACTCCTCAGTCCACCCCACGTCAGGCACTAGTTGCTGATACTCGCATGCTCTCACCTTTATCCATTCTCGCAAAAATGGTGGTTTTACTTAACGAAAACTCAGCTGTTGTATTACTTAGCTTTTCATTCCTACAACAAAATGCCAGGGAAAACTGACTCTACAAAGGGAAAATGTTTAGGTCAGTTTTGCAGGTTCCAGTCCAAAACTGAGTGGCTGCACTGGCTTGGCCTCTCTGATGAGGGCAGTGGTCATGGCAGAGTGAGTGGGAAAGAGGGCCATGTGGTGTGACAGGAAGCAGAGAGCGCCTTCCTCAGCGAGTCTCTCCTAAACTCACAAGGGCAAAAAGGGCAAGTGAAGGCTACTTTGTGAGGACACTCTGCTAGCGACCTAAGGCCCTCCCACTAGGCTCCACCTCCTATAGGTTCCACCACCTCCCTACAGTGCTGTCCTGGGAGGTGGTGGGACTTTGGGGAGACATTCAAACTAATATCCCAACTATAGCAGAGTTTGTATTGTTTTGAGAAAAGAAAATAAATAGAATTATGAAAGATTATTTTTAGATAATATTTTAAAATTTTCTTCGCAAACTACGTGACAGTGGATAAACAAATAACGTATAAAATAAGGTCTTTCAAAAGAAATCACGGGTTGCCTGGCATTGTGGTGCAGGGAGCTAAGCAGCCTCCTATGATGCTGGCATCCAACATCAGCGCTGCAGTCCTGGCTGCTCTGCTTCCCACCCAGCTTCCCGCGAATGCACATCCTGAGAGGTAGTCCAGCTCACTGAGCCCCTGCCCCCAGAGAGTTCATGGCTGTGGCTTCAGCCTGGTCCAGTCCCGGCTGTTGTGGTCATTTGGGGAGTGAACCAGTGGATGGAAGACCTATTTCTGTCTATCTCTTTCCTCTCTGTCACTCTGCCTTTCAAACAAAAGATCTTTTAAAAATGAATTATGGGTGCTAGTGCTGTGGCACAGTGGGTAAAGCCGCCACCTGCAGTGCCGGCATCCCACATGGGGGCCAGTTCCAGTCCTGGTGCTCTTCTTCTGATCCAGCTCTCTGCTATGGCCTGGGAAAACGGGAGAAGATGGCCCAAGTCCCTGGGCTCCTATACCCAGGTGGTAGACCTGGAAGAAGCTCCTGGCTCCTGGCTTCGGATCAGCGCAGCTCCAGCCTTTGTGGCCATTTGGGGAGTAAACCAGAGGATAAAAGACCTCTCTCTTTCCCTCTCCCCCTCTCTCTGCCTATGCCTCTCTATAACTCTACTTGTCAAATAAATAAATAAGTCCTTAAAAAATAAATAATCAAGTCTGCCTCTTATAGAAAAAAAAAGAATTATGCTATAAGCATACTATATTAATACTTTCCTATAATTTATAACATTTTTACTTTTTTCTCTCAGAATCAATAATTATATCATTTTAACAACTATAACCTTAAGAACCGACATAGTAAAACTTAATTTAAGTGACAGTATCTACCATTGGGTTCAAATGGAATTATGGCTTAGTTCAGCAGTCTAACTGAAGTTGAACAAATTTCTTAAAAATAAGTTATACTTCAAATTAGAGAATGGGAGTAACTAACTGAATTTATTAAGTGTTTTAGAATTCTAAAAACCCTCATACTCACTCTTTGTCATTACATTTTATCAGATACCTCACTTCTCATGAACACTGAAACTCAGTACTGACTTGTATGGTCTTGTTCCAGCTTGCACAGTCTGTCATAAAACATCATTTTGTAAATGAAATCATAGCAGGCTGTGTTGTTCCAATATTTTAAATATTTAAAAGAAAAAAAAAAAAAACAAGCGCACCATGAGAGTGAACCTGAATTGTGAGAATTGTGAGAGGGACAGAGTGAAAATACCTTACTAAGTGACCTCATCCCCAATAAACCCAGCAGGGAGTATGATACGAAGGGCCTCTGGTGGACCAGGCCTTAACCAAGCTTCTCTCTCAAAGAAAACTGATTATTCTAAACAGGCGCTAATAAGTATTCATTAAAAGGGTTTCATAGTAGTTAGTTTAGAACATGTTGCGATAAACATGTTTCTTTGCTGCAGGGCTTCTCAGAGCCTTTATTATTTCAATATGTATTGTGCATCTTTCAAAGGGGCCTACATTGTATAGTATTTCCTAAATGTATTTGACCGTAAACCTTCTTTCATGGAGAACGTATCTGGGGATTAGTATTTTACAGAACAGTCCAGGAACTGGGCAGATTAGAGGATTCCTGAGATAGTGGCTAGCCTGAAGTCTGTTAAACTTAATAGACCCCAACTCAGTCTCCAGCTTAAAGCACTGACAGTCTACAAGGAGGGTGGATCAAGTACTGTTGTGCTTAAAAGTTGAGAGAGAACATTAAACAGTCAAGTTCACATATATGCTTTTCATACGTGCTAAACCCATGTAACTATGGCCCACATCCTGCGTTTCAGAAGCCTCTTCTGTCACTTTCCAGTCAAAACAGCACACATGCATCCACACGCATGTGCACACACACATTCATGTGTGCAGACATTTGCCCATGTGTCCCCATGCATACACATCAGTAAGTACTGTTTCAATGTTTGTCACCATAGGTATCATCACAGACAAGACCTGTCAGGCTATATTCCATGGAGGTGGATGAAACCCAAGGAGAAAACAGGTAATATAAAGACCAGAGAAGGCAGAATTCCCTTGAGAAAAAAAGACTCTGTAAGAAGCTGAAGCCTCCATCTCAGCCTGAATCCGTCTCCTCCGCCTAAGGCGCCAAATTTGGATATTTGAGCATGTGTGGCTAACATCTGAATGAGTACACACAATATGTTATAACTCCAAGTTGTTTGAATCTGTCACTACTATTATGATAATATTAATTATTAGTCCCAGATGGAATAATTTCTTCATGTTTATCAGCTGTGTGATTTAGAAATGTTTAGTAGCCTATCAAAAACTGCATGGTTTAGGTGGTCTGAAAGTCCCAAAAGCAAGGAACTGGTTGCAACAGGGTTAAATGGAACTAAAACAAGGGTAAAGCACAAAAGAACAGGAAAAGGAAATTGATAAAATCTTTGATTTCCTGACACTTATTTTTGGTTATGTTTA